CAATGAGTGCTCCCCGATATCATCGTGTTGACTTCTCATCGATTACCTCCTCGGAGTTTCACCCACACTTATTCGTCTCCCTGGTCTTCCGAAGCGCCTAACTTTGAAAAACCCCGACGTTTCGCTACACTACTCTTCTAGTCAGCGGGTAAGAATTCGCGCAGGAAGGCCAGACGGATTTCATCGAGGGTTGCTGCTCGGGGGCCGGAAATCTGATGCCACCTGGCCACCGTGTCAATCAGTGCAGCCGGAACGGTCAGGAAAAGTTCCCTCGCGGCTATGCGGCGTCGATAGAGCTAGGCAAACCTCGTACGCGTAGGCCTACGGCAAGTGCGGCTTGGTGTGGTGCGACCACTTCAAGCACTAGGCACCGCTGTTGGCTTAGCGTACGGTAACGAAGCTACCGAAGCTAGCACTCAAGTAAACACGTGATTCCCAAAGGGGACGCGGACGAAGGAAACACGTGCTTGCCCGGCGCCGACCACGGAGAAGAGACCTCCCTCAGCGCGCACGTAACTGGCAAGGAGGTTCTATACTATGTCTTCTGCGATGGATGTGCGCCCCGATAAGTGACGCCGGTCGCCGCCATATTGGAAAAGGAAAGACTCGGGAGCAGATGGCAAAGTGCGTTTCGTAGCTCCACCGTCGCAGTGGCCTTCGGAGACTGTAACATGCTTTTGTAAAACATTTAAAGCTTTTATAAGGCCATGGCGACTTCGTGCATCGCTTATGGCTGCACAAATTGCATCAAGAAGACGCCTGAGTTCAACATTCATGTGTAAGTATTCTCGCTTTGTTCGCTGACGATCGCCTGTTTTTTTCGCGTATTCCGTTAAATTGGAAACAACATCAAAGGTGCGCATGCTTGTAATGCATTGCGTATAGCTGTATGAAAAGTAACTTGAAGCTTTACAAGCTCACTGACCCGACGTCGTCCGTGAGTTTTAAGTTTATGGACGAAGCACTTGCGGTCTAGGGCTGCACTTATCAAACATTGAAACGAGTAGGACGTCTGAATGCCGTTCGAATTCCACGTTTTCTGGTGTTGCTTTACAAGGCAACACTGACGGCGTGCATGCGTAATTTTGGCGAGTGCTTATGAAATTTGGTGCATGTTTATCGAGAACTTCGCAAACGTGGAGAGTAAGTCCATGCCGTTATTATCCGTGTTACGTGTTTCCGAAAGACAGTGCGCTTTGTTTTGCCTGGGAACCTGCTGTTCGAAGAAATAGTTGCAGGCTACGGACGGTGACCCCCTCAGTTCTCTTCACTTCAAAAAATGCTGCTTCGACAGAATGCGGCAGACAACCAGACTGCGGCTTGGCAGTGCACCATCAATTCCCGCGAAACGTGCTTTTCCCGCGAAACGTGCATCCACAACACAACGACGGTAGCCGCAAAGTCCGTGCACGAGCCACCCTGAAAGAGAGCTAGGGATGACATTGACTCCGTTTCGTTTGTCGACGCAACGCCGTACCATAACAGTAGATTGTTCGCGTTGTGGCAATAAACGGGACGAGGGGTGCTTCGCTCTTCCGCCTCGGTAAAGGCGGCCACCCCGGGTATAGCAGAGCAAATCGCGGTTGCACTGGTCTTGTCCGACCCAGAGCGTTCCTACATATACACAGACTGAAGAGATGCAATTAGAGCTTACTAATCGGTCAACCTTGCTCGAGAAGCGGCCTCCATGGTAGAAAAGAGGGCTTGTCCAGGTTATCATGTTTTCACTTGGTTCCCCACGCACATGAGGAAGGACGTTCTCGAAGACTTCCCAAACCTCAACGAGCTGGCCTATGATCGTGCGCTAGAACTTACGCGCCGCGACGGTCTGGAGGCTATGGAGGGGCAAGAAGGGACACAGCATAACAATGCACTACTGACATTCAATGAAACAACCACGCATTACCAACTTAGCAGAAGAATCTATCCTCTTCCTCACGCGAAGCTCAGCAGAGCACATTGAGCTGCCTTGAGAATGTTGCAGACGGGGTCTTTCCCGTCGCGGGGATTCCTAAGTGAAATATACGTGGACGTTGACCCTAGCTGCCCGGGCTTCAATGAAACCTTCTGCTCTATTGCTCACATGCTTTGGCGATGTCCTGCGCTGCCTAACAACCTTCTCTCAAGCGAAGCCGAATGGGAGGAGGCCATAAGAAGTACGGAACTGAGCAGGCATATCCAGGCCGTCCACAGGGCTCAGGAACAGGTGGAGCATCACGGCGTTCCGTCCTCTACGTGGGTGCGGCCAGCGGTTAAAATTGCCCCTCGTTGAAGGATCCAACAGTAACTCCTCCTGTTTTATTAAAGTTCGCTGTCTGTCTGTCTCGTGCTCAGCATGCTCACACACGTTAAGACTTTTCAGTCGAAAATCAACATTTCCCAACAGCAGGCGAGGAAGCCTAATCTTTCTCACCTTCCTGGCTGCAAAAGTTTTCTGGCATATAGGAGCACACCGCCTGCACTAATAACTATTAAGAAAATAAACACGCATCACTCGTAAGCGTTTTTGGTGTAAGTTCTGAGTAGTAAGTGCAGGTCCGCGGCTCCGGGTACGTCATAAATGTGCTACGGAATATGCCGCAGTACGCTGGGTTAGCGGCTGAATCTCTGGTCGCGTCCTTGAGGATCTTCTCGGGTGGTATTCCTCAGCATATATTGCAGCAATGAACAGAACAGCAAGTGTTGAAAAGTAACCTCAAGTCTTAAATAGGGCAAACAGGGCAACTAATAAAAGAACACACAGAGCACAGCTGATCAGAGTATCTCGTTGTGCTCAGTATGTCATCGCTTCTTCTCTTAGTCCTTGTCCTGCTAGTGCTATTCGATGCGTTGAGTCTGAAACTAAGAAGAACAACTGTCCACCTATTCCGTTGAAAAGTTCTTCTCATAGATCTGCCGTTTCCTGGACGCAAGAAGCAACTGAAGTGAGCCAGTCTCCTAAGCTGGCATCAGTTGTGGCGCTCGCTAGTCGGTCGGTGTGAAGCTATGCGATTCACAAACCTCGAAGGTACGGCAGTGACATATTACGTAGGCTACAGAGCTAAACTCTTTATCGGTGATGTCACTGCGGACATGATCTGAGACTCCTTCCAACATATTGCGAACTTGGTACTCCGCGGATATACGGCGGTTGGCAGTCCTGCGCAGTTTTAGTATCGTTTTTTGTGTAGGTCATGCACGTCTTCCCTAGTACATGACCCCTTCGTACAACCATTTTTTAGGGGCGAAGCTCCTTATAGCGGCACCCGTTCGTCTCTCGTAGTCATAGTAGTAGTAGTAGTGCGTAACCAGTCTTAGATTTTGACCTCCAAGGTGGTGCCGGTGAGAGATTTTTTCTGTGCGTTGTTAAACAAAAAAAAATCGCAGCGTGCGCGTTAACTGAAAGACGAATTCTCCTGTCTCTCATTCCCCCTTAGCAGCCATCGGCATGTACATTGAGCCTTATCTGACAAGAAAGGGTTGCCACGTTATACTCGCTGGGCATAACCTCCTTGGTTTTAGAAAGGTTTAGCGAGCGTTGTGCTGCAGTGCCATGAATACTGTGAACTAGTATATACCATGAACTCGAGGTGGTTAAAGGTTGGAAGTAGACACGAAGCTCAAGCCATAAGAAAGTGTGCGTGTGCCACCTTCCGTTTAGTTCTTCGAATGTCCGCTGGATGGCGGTGCGTATGCAGAATATATGAAGAAAAGATGCGAGATGGTGTTACTTGCAGTGTTCAATAGATGGACGAACGGACACGAAGACAGATGCATGGACGTACTCATGGATGGCTGCACCAACAGAAGAACGCATGGACGGACGCATGGGCGGATGCATGGACGAACTCAGGGATGGACGCACAGATGAACGTGTGGATGCACGAACAGACGTACACACAGACGGGCGAATGGACGCACGGGCGGTCACACAGACGGATGCATGGACGGACAGAAGCAAGAACGAATGAACGGACGGATGCTTCACCCCACTCTCCAATCATTCACTCCATGAATATGCTACCATTTTTTGCTCGCTTCTTTGTGACAGCGTCAATGAAACTGTCCCTAACTGGAATCACATACTGGCACCATGTTGTCAGAGTATATGACGGTTATTGAAACACACAAGCACCCCGTTAGGCGTTACAAAGCCACGTTCCGCTGTCGCATTAGGCGTTTGCTCAATGGCACGTTATGGTTGCTATATTCTTCAGCGTCTTGACCACGCTTGCCCACGAACATGCCAGCTAAGACAAGTTGCCGAGCGGTGGGGTTCACTGTATTCAAAGACGTTACCTTGCTAGTTTCGGCGTGACCATATGAAACGCTGGGCGTATGAAATTGATCTAGGCGGCAGCTTCTGAAGAACTTTGGTATGTGGAGCACCATTTCATCCCTATTGCCAGTAAAATGCAGGCGTGGCTTGTTGGCCTCACTTCACAGGATGACAATGAGTGAAAACGCTTAAGACAAGGAGAGAGAAGACGCTTTACACACGTGAGCACTGCCGCACAACAATGTTTTATCTGGAAACAAGCAACCGCATATGTAACGCAAAGCGCGTGACATATTACGTGTGCACCGTCTGCCCATGCTCCGAGTGACGACGCAAGAAAGGTAGCTCTTTCCTAGAAACAGCAATTGACGGTTTGCGAACACATACGTCGCCTATACAACTAATGCACTCCGCCTCAATGATCTCACGGTGTCAAGCGTCTTCGATGTTGTCTTCTTATACACTATCATTCATGCAAATTTAACACGCCTAAATACCTACCTTACCGGACGTGATGTTTCAAGCGACCAAGCATTACCCATCAAAGAATTGATACTACAGTAATGCTCGTTACGACAATAACCCCAATAAAACAATATGCTTTACCCCAACGAATGTCAGACCTATTAACGTTCATCTTTCACTGAGTCACCGAAATCCGTAATTTCACTGTTTTCATGCGAAATATAAGTGTTCCTGCATGTACCAGAAAAGAGCCATGTGATGAGACAACTTTACTTACCTGCATACCAATAACTGCATAGATGAAGAAGAGCATCACAATGAGAAGGGCGACGTAGGGTAGGGCCTGCGAGGAAAGTGATACGAATAAGCCAATGTATTCAGTACAACTAATATTGTTAATAGCGGCCATACACATCCAAAAGCATAGAAAGCACTAACAGCATAGTGCATATCGCATGATGCACAAAGCAAAAGCACCAGTTTAGAAGACAAAGAGCGAGCCACTCAACTGCGTTGTAAGTGACCGTTTGTTCTAATGCACCTAAATACACGGCTGTGTTATAAACCAGGAAGCATATTTGCAGTGGTTCTTGACGAGTTAGCCATACGTAAGAACGGGAAGGAAGAAATGTATTGTAATGAAGGTTGTAATCCACCTATGATTCATAAACTATTTGTTTCAGGTGAAACGCAAAAAAAAGAAGAAGAGCTTCTGTTAAAGACGTACAAGATGCATCGCGCTTTCACCTTTATGCTGTTTGGTTACGCGCAATGGATATGTGGCTTTCCTGGCATTATTTACGTTAGAATAAGAGACGTCTGTTTGTTCTACAGCGTACTGATATTCAGGAAAGATATAGAAAATAAAAAAGAGCGTCTACACCCTTGATGGCCGTTGCAAACAACGTGGTTCTACACATCCGGGATAAAACTATCTCTTACCAGAATTCGGCCTTGAAAATCGCTCAAGGGAAATATAACTCATGACATGAGAGAAATAGCCGATTAGTGCAACATCCGAAGCACCCTAAGTGTAGAATTTCGATATGGATTGGTGATGATGGAAGAAGACATACACAACAGGCGTGTGCCGTTCCGTTCACTTGTGTGCATGCAGTTTTTTATTGCGCTTTTTAAGCATGACATAACACTCTAGTCACTGATAACCATTTGCCGAACATTCCGTGAACTTTACAAAAACAAGCTTATTCTGGTGTACGTATGTCTCAAAAGTTGCAGCGCTTGACGATGATGGTCAGAAGCTTAGAGGTAGGCACACCTGGGAGATATTTGTCAATACTTTACTTCGAAGGAGTTTTGCTCTCAGTATGAACAAAGAATACAAACCAACACACACGAAGATACTTTCGTAATGACTTGAGGTGAGTGAGTCAGTACGGTGCACAAAGATATACAAAAGAAAAAATTGAACACCCTCAAACAAGCTTGCGAGATGACTAGTTCATTCAAGCAGTATTTCATTTTAACGTCGTGACAGTATGAAATATTACGTCGGGTGACGTCAATAGTGCTGATCAGTCAGATAGTCGGCTCGTTTGCATTGTGTATTTATTATGTGCATACTAACTATCCCAAATTTCGTAATTTGGAAACTAGTTTCTTAACAATATTTTTACAACAGGTCTCATTCCTTTTGCTTTAGATCACGTTCGATCAGAAGTGTTTTAATATTATGTACCAAATTCATAATTTGCCTGGTATGAACAGTTTGTCAGTTGAATATTTTGCAGACACTTAAGACAGATGCAGCATTTCGGGTTTCGAGAGAAGGCACCTCTTATTACATTTATTTCCTTCGCGAGCAGTATAAACGAAGACAGACGCTTACATCATGCCTGATTCATCGTGAAGAAGGCGAATGAGTGATCACCTGGAAGGACTTGATGAAGGTCCAGAGTAAAGTTCGAATGCCTTCGCCTTTGCTGAGCAGCTTGACGAGGCGCATGACGCGGAACAGTCGGAAGAAGTTGATGCTGATGATGTTGGTTCCGGGCTGAGAGGAAGGGGCAATGCAACGCGGAAAGGAAACAGACCCGTTAGCTTCGTCACCCAACAAGCACGAACACAGTCGCATGCGACGATCATCATGCAGTGCATCACGCACTACAAGACGAGCAAACAGCACCGCGAGAGCAAATACTGATGCGACGCTCTTTTCATTTATAAAACTTCTCAGTATTCCAGATGACATTACCACCAGATACCATGCTGAAGGAAAACCATCCGCGAAAAGAACGGATTGCTTTGACACGTTGCCCCAGAACGTAGCATTGCTGATATTGAGAAACAAAAATATTTGTTCATGCTCTGCAAATAGTTCATAAGACTATGTGCGCAATTCAACAGCCCTAAAAGTTGTACCTTGAGCACGTTTTTTTTTTTGTACTTTTTATTCCGTTCGTCAGCTATGCAACTATAGTTACTGTGTTTACTTCTCATCCCTCGCGCTCTACTTACCGGTTAGCCGTAAATAAATGCAGATGAACTACGGCATGCGGTTGAAGGCCGATGTAAATGATTGATTGATTGATTCATATGCGGGGCTTAACATCTCAAAACCATTATATAATTTTGAGAGACGTCGTAGTGGAGGGCTCCGGAAATTTTGACCACCTGGAGTTCTTTAACGGCCGATGTAAATGTATTGTTAACTATAATACTGCTCACGAATATTTTATTGTTGGAACCGGTTCTAACATTTCACTAGCCGCGAATTCAACCTTATCTCTCTAAGGTAAACTTTGCTCATCGCAGCGCTGGTTACTCGTCATAGCGCTATGATAAAGGTTCACGATTTTCCGTAAGCACGGTGAGGGGTAACAAAGTTGAAATAACCTAAAATATTTTGTAAGCTTTAAGCCACGAGCTTACAAATCACCACTAAGATTGAGGCCTGACGTCGACGCTCGTGTATTTACTGAGCTGTAATAGCTGCCAAAAAAAAACTCTGTCATGAACTTCAAAGTTGTTCAAGAGCCCTTCTGATAGAGCGCGAGTTTTTCGGGAACATTGTTTCATGGGTTCTTAAGGTGCTGAAATAAATCAAATACGGAAGCTTACGGGGACATCTGTGAGTGTATAAAAACTTGTATATTACCACCGTGCTTAGCAAAAACGTGAAATCGCATGCAGAAGAGCATTCCTATCAGCCAGTGCCTCATAGTTTACTCAATTTCCCACTCAGTCTACTCCAGGCAGCCATATGCCGTGTAATTCAGTCTCAGATATCCGAAGATAACATCGCACTTTCCTGCTACCTGTATTAGATTGAGTGGGAAACAACGTGCATCAAGAAAACTTTGCTAATGCTTTTGCCTTCTAACGGCTCTTAGGATTTTTCCGTGAAGCGTAGAGCTGCCAAGCTAACAGTAAAGTTCCTTGCTATGATGCAGATCGGCGCAGGGTAGGTTATAGTAGTAGTGCTGTTCAAACAATGTCACGCTGTGTTACGTTATTTGAGTTTGTGTTGCCACAGGAAGAACAGCTTACATGTCACCACGATGGTCGAACTTTTTGACATATGCACTTTTTTCTAGCGAAAAACAACTAAAACATTCATCTACTCTGAAGTTTCGCTTGTTTACTGCTGTGAATAGCGCCATATATATGACAGCTTAAAATGTGGCTTTAAAAGCTTCTAGATATGTCATTGTTATTAAAAAGACAGAATGGTTGAAGTGTCTATGGTGTTTCAACTATTTGAAACGAACCTGGTAATATTTTCTTAGTGGTCTCCGCAACCGACCTTCATACTTTCTTCAATGCGGGGGGACGGAAACGCCTACTTTTCAGCGCACATACGCCTGGTTGCCCATGCATAAACAGTTCATTCAAGTATCTTCTGGAGTTGTGAAAACTGTCACCACCTTTTTGGAGGTGGTCAGACATCTTTTTAGAGGTGGTGACACTCGGATGCAGCGTCAACGTATAAAAGTGCATAATACCAAACCTATAAGCAGGATTTTGGTCCAAGTGTGTGAATTTGTCGTGCATTTCGCTCCTCAGCAGTATTATTTCGTAAATCATTGCATAGTGCACCTGTCCTTGCCGTTTCGCGTTCGCCGGACACCTTCAGAAAGGTTCTGTTAGCGTGCTATACTCATGACGCCAATTAAGTAATAAAGGCCTGTATAGATTACTACCGAAACGTTTCTAACCTTGCGAAGCAATGCTGCACAACACCTAACACACCGCATGCAAGAAGTAGTCATGCAGAGGCTCGAGATTCAAGAAATGAGCACGGCCACTTTTGTAACCACACACACACACACACACACACACACAAAACACAAACACACACATACACAAACACACGCACGCACACGAATACACACACGCACACACACACACACACACAAACACACACATACACACACACGCACGCACACGCACACACACGCACGCACACACACACACACACACACACACGCGCGCGCGCGTGTTAGTTTGAAGCACAACTAACGTTGCATGCGGCGATTGAGCTAGCGTGAAAGGCCTGGTGCAAGCTCTGACGAGATTAACAATCACTCAAATCCTTGATTCTCGACATTAAAGGACCACCCATTGTTCGAGTCTTCAAGCAATATTAAAATTGTGGTAGCTGCGTCTCGTTGCTAATGACTAGCTCCAATTAAAAATCACGTTAAATGTACAGAAGCTCATGCCTTGGCAAGCGATTGTAACAGTTAGCGTTTATAGTTAGACACTAGCATATTATTGCTTTGAGGTGAGCGCAGTTTTAGGTAGTCATGTGGCCTCGTTTGTCTTTAGTGTTCACTATATGCGAAAAGAAATTAGAGCTTCAACCCATATCAAACGCAAATTAGGAATCCAGCCTTCGATGCAGTGCTTAGGCAGTTAACTCCAAATATTTTAGTCAATTATGGCTTTACAAAAGTTTTAGCTTCGGGACAGCAACCATGCAGGTAATGTGAAAACCATCATAATTTAGTGAATACTTCAAGGTAATACGCGATGATGTTACAAACACGTCTATCTAAACTAGGTGTTCTCATTTTAACTAGAACTCACGTCGCTGTCGCTAGAAACAATTTGTGAAGCGGTCACTGAAATACAATGTCAGCGATGTTAGAAAATATGGAATCATGATCGCATTGTTGTTGTCAGTCTATGCATGGTAAATTAGGCACTTCAGAGTTATCGATGCTGCCTATACCTGGCGAAAACTTGGTCTCGAACAACTTAGCCACAGCCAGATATATTTAGCTGCATCACGGAAAGCTCTTGAGCGAGGTGAGCTGTTGGGCTAGTTGGATTTCCATGCCCCTAAAAATTGCGCTGTAGTTGCTGCGAGAAAATAGGGGGACCCTTAAGCTTCGCCTTCACGAATTGAACGTGATAGTGAAATCTGGCCCCTTATGCGCCTTTCAACCGCTAAGTGCATACTTAATTATACGTTTCATTGCGCACACACGCTAACGCACACAAACACACGCACGCGCATGCGCGTCGTATCTATACTAATGCAGTAACTTGCAAAGTGGCCACATCCCTCTGCATAACGACGCTCTGCTGTAGTCGAGACACGTTTTTCCCAAGGTCTCACAGATGGCACACAAAAACACACACACGCGCGCGCCTGTACGAATGGTACATACAGGTTTTTGATCTAAAGCTAGAGTCGCATGGCCCCCAAGATACACGCCACGCACTCGCAATCTACGATGCCATAAAGAGTCTCACAATGCCTCGCAGATGGCAGCACATTATCCAGCGTTGCCTGTTTTCGTGTTCAAGGCTTCTGGAAAGGCATGATACGTTTTTCGCTTGATGGACATCGTTGTCCATTTTTAGAGCTATTTGAAAGTTCCTGTGTGTTTTTAGTGGTGGTGGCTGCATTATCCCGACCTTTTTTGAGGTAGTTTGATGGCCTCCCAAATGCGCCTACAAATCGCCGAATGGCCTCGTTTTCGTCATCACACCTGTCCAACAAAATTCGTTTAAAAAAACTCCTTCCCATACATGGCATTCATTAGGTGTTTTTTCCAGAAGCAGTAAGTAAGCAAGTAACATGGTTGCTTTGTGGAAGGACACCTGCTTGCCACGCGAACGGCCTGGGTTCGATCCCCAGTGAGACTGAAAGTTTAATTCTTTATTTTATTTTCTTCTATCTCAAATTTTTGCTCACGGACGATTTTTCACTCACAACCAACGGTGCCGACGCCAACGGCAGAATTTCTGCGACACGAGCTCTCTAACGCTATCGCATTAAACTGATGTTAGGGAAGAGACTAGAAGTGTAGTGGACACTACAAGCGCAGTGTGCACTTCATTTCTTGTCTCCTCCTGAACTTAGTTTTTCACAGCAACTGTAACGCAATTTACTCAGACATAAGGTTTTGCCCTTTCAAAATATAGCACTCGATATCATTGTGGTTGTTTCTGCTAAATAAATATTTTTACACTCTTTCAATGTGTTACTAAGGGAGACCACTTTGAGAGGTGCTTGTGTTCAAGCTAATCGGATGGCAGAGCTGAATAAGCAGCGCTTTGAAATTTACTAGACGATGGACAAGAACGTTACCTAGGATTCAGGAAAAAAATTTAGTTGAAAAGGTGCGCATAGGATGCCATGTTTTCTTCCGTGTTCTTCTAAACGTTTCAGCGCTGCTTATTTCACTACGGAAATGTTCGTTGAACACATGCGATGAAATGTTGCCACCTAGAAAATGTAGAACTAAGAGTTGGGGAAAGCATCGCAGAGAAAACACATCGATACAGTCTACTAGTTATCAAACGGAGATTCGAGATGATGCTAAATAACAATTTTTGAAGTATAGCACAAAGCAGTTTTATGGAGAAGTTTCAAACTTCCCAATAAAGAAAACTTGACTGTAATAGCAAAGAAAACTGGCAGTTATGAAGGCCTTCAAGAGAACATCTAGAATCGACCATAAGTGTGAGCGTGTTATTACTGGAAATATTACACACTTATAATCCTCCAACTGTTCATTCGAATGCACTTGATAGGAG